TAACTGCAACACTAGACTTTCCACACTTTCACTTCATTCGATTATGATTCGACGTGGAAGGTACTCATCACTGGGTATGGTTTTGGGGAGACACAAATGGGTGTCTACACCTATAATTGTATTAGGGCAGTTTAGGAATATAAATGATTAATTTCATTAGGGTACTTGTTTAACGACCTATCTAACCTTCTAGGAAGCGGCTTGTTTAACATTTATTTTTTCTATTGTTAGAGTCATTTTATTTGCTTTCCTTTTTCTTTATTTTGATTGTTTAATCCTACTTGTCAATGCTAATCGTGTGCTTAGCTTTGTTGTATTCAAAAAGAGATATGGCAAGGTAAGAGGATGACCTTATTTTTAGGGAGTTTGGAAATCTGAAAATCTATGAGCTCGGGAGTGGTATACTTCTCCCAACCACCGAGACTAATTTCACTATCCATCAACAATATGGTAGGATGGTCCAAATTGAGCAATTTTCCGGAGGTGCAAGTGAAGACCTCATTGAACATTTGGACAGATTCCTTGAGTTGTGTGCAATGATGCAAACCAATGAAATGATCCAAGATTACATTCGTATGCCTCTCTTTCGGAAATCTCTCACCGGAAGAGCAAAGAAATGGCTCAAGCTTTTGAAGCCTAACTCTCTCACCACATGGAAGGAAGTTGTGAAGGCCTTTCTCAAGAGATTCAATTCTGATGAACAAACCGCAAAAATGAGGAGGAAGGTATCTTCTTTTGAGAAAGAACCGGATGAAACTCTTGGGGAAGCATGGCAAAGGTTTAAGGATTTGATTAGAGCATGTCCTCATCATGAATTCAACCATAATTTAGATGAGGGTGTCGGTGGCCAATTGATTAAGATCCCACAAAGCCAAGTTGAAGCTACAATTGAAGAAGTGGCTAATAACTATTCTTGGGGATGCCAAAGAAGGTCCCAAGGGAAGCGAGGAGATCTTTACGAGTTGGAGAAAGTCGGCCAACTTAAGCACATAGTTGAGCTCTTAAATGAAAGTCTTTTTAAGTTGAACTCAAGTGTTAGTTTGGGTTCAAAACTGTCACAAATCAGATTTCTCATGTGCTCGTTGTGGTGGGACGGATCATGATGCATCCTATTGTAGAGAGTTCAATCCAGAGCATGGTGAGGTTTTGACTTTGAGGGAAAAAGAGTTTGTAACCCAAACTCAATCTCAACAACTTCAACAACCTCCAAGGCTAGAAAACTCCTACCCCCATGATGGACCTCTCTTCAATCTACCAACCAAAAATTTTTCCTACCCTTCCATTCAAATAGGGAACTTTAAAGATCAACATCATGACCAAAATCCTCAAGCGTATGAAGAACAATCCCAACCCGACCACACACAAACCCAAATTCTTCAACAACGTAAATTATCACTCAACAATTCCAAGAGATCAAATCTCACAATGAAGTTGAAGATTCCCAACTAGCTCAAATTTCTTCTCTCCATTTAACGACAAAACTCCCCGTATAATCATTTACTAACCCTTCACATACTTATCAACTCGAAACTTGCAAGAAGGATGAGAGAAAGGAGGACAAGGTTGTAGAGGATGTGGTTGAGATTAAGGTTGAAGAACAAAATGAGAAGCCATATGATTTTAGTGAACCAAACAAGTTTGAAGGCCCGGTTCCCTTTCCTTGTAGGCTAGTTGAGAATGTTGTTGTGAAGAGCCCTATAACGGCGAGCGTATGTAGAGTTGATGTCGTCGATGGTGTGATGGCTAATGAGAGCTTACCACCACGTGATGATAAGGTGACAATGAGGTATGATGACTTCCTTGAAGTTCCCGCTTAGTTTGAAGGCTCTCCTAAGGAAGGTGAGGTTGCCCTTCCTAATATTGAGGATTCCAAGCTTAATCACCCATTTAGAAGGAAAAGAAAGAAGAGAGAAAAAAGAAGAAAAAACAACAAGAAGAAGAGAAAGAGAAAAGATGAGCCACAATTCGCTCTTGATTCATTCCCTCCTTTCCCTTGTGGTGATTTGAGACCTCAAGGAGTGCTACTTCACAAGCTTGGGGGAATCTATGATTCAATCCTCAAGTGGATGAGGGTGATGTTCTTTAATCCACCTTGAAAAAGGTGAAAGGTCAAGCTAGAGCCATAAACAAGTTCTTCCTAGGAGGCAACCCGGAGGATTTCTAACCCTTTTTCTTCCCCTCCTTTGTTTTACATTTTGTTTTCTTTCTTTGTTCTCTTTTAATGTTTTCTTTCATGCCTTGTCTTTCATTGTAGGTTGCTTTTTGGAAGCTTGGAGCGGATTAACATTTGGTGAATTCTGTTTTATGCTCCTTTATTCTTTTAAGCTAACTTCCCGGTGAGACCTTTCTTAGTTTTACTCTTTTACTCTTTCTTTGAGTGCTTATTTTAGGACTAGTTTATGAAGAAGTTTAATGGTTCGAGGATTTTTTCTTTTGGTTCTATGGAACCTGGAATTGTTGATGTTGTTATCGAACGATCACTTGTATGATAATTGGGATTTACTCGGATTATTTGCCTCATTTGTGAACCTTTTTTTATTTCTTCCTCTTTATTTTGTTTTGTTTTCCCTTTTGTGTGACAAACATGACTATGAAAAGTTGAATTGATTTTGATTTGGAATTTGTTCTTTCATTTGGATTTGTGTGCTTTTCATGATGTGTCATTGAATTCCTATCTTCCTAGTTGTTGAGGGATTACACGGTTTGAGAGTGCTTAGGGTTGAGTTAGACAAATTTTTAGCTAAGGTAGCATGATTTAGAACTTTTGAGGACGTTTGAACCGGTAGTTCACGGGACAATGGTAAGATGGTGTTGCTCTCTATAGTGGATAGGATTCCCTTTAGTTGGTATTTGCTTACTTCCCATCCCTTGTGAGGCTAATATTGTTCAAGCCTTCATCAATATTGTTGAGCGGCATTTAGGATCCTTGACTATACGTATCTTAATCCTTGTGTTGTCCTCTAGCTCCCAAGATCGTGACCAAGAAACTCTAGGGGAAGAAAAGGGCACCCTTATCTCATTTTTCTTTATCTTCTTTTTGTTTTGTTATATATTTTGTTTTAATTTTACATTTGCTCCTCTTATGAGCCACATTACAAGCCTTATGACCTTTCCTTTCTCTAACCCTTAGTTTTGTGAAGCATTTTGGTTTGAGAGGTTGTTTTGTATTGTAATGAAGATGAGAAAGTATTAAGCTCTTTGGACCAGAAAGAAAGTAAATTGTATATATTGTGTGTAATAAAGAAATCACATTCAAGAAATAACCGTCCTTAGTTAAAAAAAGGAAAGGATAACAAATAATAGTTTAAAAAAAATAAGAAAAAAATAGTTTGGTTTTGTTTTATTCCCTAGTTTAATAATTGAGGACAATTCTTTGTTCAAGCTTGGGGGGAGCGTTACTTCGTTTTTGTTTATACTGAGTGTTGGTGTTGAGTAAGCTTGTGGGAGATGGCATATTGGTATTTATTATTATTTTTTTTATGTTTGGTGACTTCTTGAGTTTGTTTTTTTAGAGAGGGCCCCTCTTTTGCTTCACTTAGGAAATATCACAAAAATTTTAAAATTTTGTCTCGCCTTGACCCTTAGCCTTACGTGACAACCTTAGTAAAGAACCTTTTACTTTAGAGGGATGAGGTCAAAGACCGGTGGAGGGAGATAGAATTCAACCCTATGGAGAGAGTATGCATAGTTGAGATTTAGGGATGACCTTATGATTCCACATAAAAATTTCCTTTTTCAATTCCCTCGAGGAATCATGAGGAGCTAACTAAGGGATGATTTGAAGCTAATAGAGAGAACGTGGACCGTCTTGGTTGGGTCTAGGGCGGAGAAAGAAATCATTGGTTCTCTATGCTTAGCTTAGTTTTGTCTCTTTCAACCATGAGCATTTAGAACGTGTTTTCCCTCTTTGAATTGAGAATGGTGAGTATTCTTTGATGCATGTCTCTATGTTATGTTGGTCGTGGTTGTGTTTGATTTTCTTTTTCTTTTGCCTTGGTTTTTGTCTAGAGTTGTGGGCTAAGCTCCTAGGAAACCCTCACGAGAGCACACTCGTCCTCTAGGGCGATCTAGGGGTTTATAGGGCTTGTCTTTAGTTGCTTAAATTAACCGTGATTCCTACGAAAGTGAGTTAGTGTACATTCTTATTCTCCTTTAGTTAGTGTCTTAGCTTTGCTTGAATAATTCACTCTCCTTATCTCGTGTTTCATGTTAATTTGCTCGAGGACGAGCAAGAGGTTAGGTTGGGGGAGTTTGATAAGTGAATTTTATGTCACTTCTAGGGTGTTTATTGAGTCATTTTCCGACATATATTCCAATAATTTTGTTCATTTTATCCTTTAATTCTATTATTTGCTTATTCTCCTCTTTTATCTTTATTTTTAGTATTTTTTGTAGTTTTTAATAGTTTTTAGTTTATTTTCGTTTTTTTACTTAATAATTTCTAGCATCCCTCTTTTTCTTATTTATTTTAGTGTAGCATTTTATTTTACTTCGTTTTATTTTATTATATTTTGTTCTAACTTGGTGTTGGTTTTTGGTTGTAGGTGTGTTCGGGTTGATGCTCGATTTTCATGTCCAAGTCAAGTTCGAAATTCTGGGTTCGAGTCAAATGTGACAAACAACAAGCTTCTAAGCATCAAGTTGTTGCCACTCTTAACATACAGCACTCCATCTCCCTATCCTACAGAACACTCCCCTACTCCCCAATTCACCCAAAACACTTCTCCTACTCCTTAGTGGAAAAATAGCTATCCGTAACGGGCAAAAACAGCCTATCCGTAACGGGCAGCGGGCGTTACTTATGCTGCCGTTACGGATAGGATATGTTATTCGTAACGGGCGCTGCCCGTTACAAATAACGGGCTATTTGTAACGGGCAGTCTAATTGCCCGTTAAGAATAACGGGTTATTTGTAACGGACAGTCTGACTGCCCGTTACGAATACAATTGAACCCAAATTAAAAAAAAAATCAGCAGGTGATACCTGCTAGTATGCTGCCAAATTTTAATTACTATTATAAATTATCAATTACTAAAAATAAATAATTTTAAATAATAATTTATACAAATATACAGTTATTCAATTAGCAAAAGCTATACAACATTCAAATGATTTTATCAATTAAAGAAATTTAAAACAAGTCATGCACTTGCTAATTGCTATAACTAAGATGAGATTCAAATTCAATACGTTGCTCTCTCGTTTGCTCATAATTCGAAACTGTTTCAGCAACAACAGCAGATTGTTGTCCTTTCTCGGGTTGTTCCTGTTGTTTAATTTTGGCGTGATTTCAGCAAAGGGGGGCAGTGGAGGAGGAACTGGAGGAAGCACTACCAACCGTGTTGATTGTTGAACTGTTGAAGCCCCCGGAGAAGATCTGAGTAGCATATCTTGTCGTACTCTCGGTTTACTTATCACCATACCCAAACTAGCAAAGAAAGATCCAAAATCAGAAATAAATAAATAAATAAAATCGATAGATCTTAAGCAAAAAAATGCAAACTACACTAGTGAAGAATCAAACACAACATGCCTATATTATTTATTAAAGTAAAAAAAAATAATATATACAATTTTAGCTTTACAATTTTACAAACCTGATTTTCAGCTCCCATAGGCACAGCAAGTGAATCGGGAATGCTAGAGCCATCACTACTTATCATGTATCTCTCCTAATCAAGAAGAACCTGCAAAAAAAGAACTATTAAATATTAATCTGCATAGTTAAAAATACACACACACACATCAGGCTGAGGGCAGTGCTTGTAAGCCTTACATATATACTGCCTATGGAAATTATACAACGACACACACACACACTACACATTTATCAGGCTAAGAGCCGGAAAAGATCGAAAGGAAACCAGAGTAAACTATGACAGTTCCAGTGCTTGTAAGGCTTACATATATACTGCCTATGGAAATCATACAATGAATACAATAAAAGGAAAGGAAAATACCTGCTTAATAGTCTCTTCATGGGTGGCCAGAAGCTCTTTGTATTTCTCCTGCAGGTCTGACATCTCAGTCTGAAGTTTCTCATATTCAGCAACAGTAGGTCCCCCTAATTTTTGTTGCACACATCTGTAAAACAAAAACTATAAAACATTAGGGTAGATGTTCATAATTAAAACAAGCTGTCATAAGTTATAATCAATAGTTGTAGAATTATTAATAAAAGCATAGGACATCTGTTGGGGAGTGGAATGACTGAATGAGCTCCAATCCCATCCAAAAAGAAATACAACCACTCCAAAAGTTGCCAATAAAAAAAGTGTCTATAAACGAGTAACCAGTGAAATATATACGGATAAATCCCATAAGAGAATTTAAACGGTAGACAACAAATCCAACAACAAATCATATAATAAACTTGATAAGAAACATTTGGTAGGGCGTTTAGAATATAGGACCTTGCTAAGAGTCCACTTATTATCTATGTTCATAAATCTTGCAATAAATATGAAAATGACATAGCAGGTATCTCTTTAAGTGGCAACTTAAACCACACGACATCTTGGATGAGAAATCACCAGAAAGTAAGATCATAAGGAATGTCAATGGTATCAATTTCCTCATTTCAAGGACACTTGAGAACGAAACAGATAAACAAGAATCAAAACAAATCTTAGTCATATGTCAAGTTATCCTACAAATTTTGTAGAACAAACCAGAAAACAAAGATGAACAAGTGCCAAACTATACAACTCGAACTGCATTCGTTCCCAAAATCATAACTTTCCTCTAATTCTACCAAGTTAAACCACCATAAACATCATCTCACCAGTACCTTTGAATAGCAGGCAGTTAATGCAGACGCTAACTTTCTATAATTAGACAACGTATACAGATGATGCTTTTACTCATATATAAGTATCAATTGTAATTCTCTGATATAACCAACTTGAATGTTCATCTTCTCTTTGATAACAAATAGGCAGGTTATGCATTAATACAATCTTAACAAGTCATTGAATTTCTTCTCAAATCTAAGCGGCCAACTACATACTTTATCTTAAAATCGCAACTATTCATGGAGTCAAATTAAGTATATACCAGTAATACCACCATTTAATCATCCATTTTAATTTTAATATTAATTAATTCCCCCATAATTCTATAAGATCTGAGATCTTAAGAATCCAGAAATGAACAACACATTTCGAATTATTTATTGCACAAATTAAACACTTATTCATTTTAAACTCTAATTATATACCAAATCCCACTAAAATTGATTAAATAATTTAAGTATATACCACCAATTTTATCATTAATCAATTAACCCACAATTCTTAAAATAAAAATTCACAAGATCTGAGATCTTGAACCCTAGAAAAAACAGTCCATTTCAAATCAAAAATTCTACAAATCAATCATTTACTCATTTCATTAAAATCATCACAACATGAATCAAACCTAACAAGATCCAATCCACAAAAACAATAAAACCCCATTTAAGATCTGGAAATTTCCAAAATCAAGGGCAAATCACAGATAAAAAAAAGGGGATTAAATCGAAAAATGACGAGATAAATGAAATTATACCTGGGTAGAGAAGATGTAGCAAGAACACCAACGAACTTCAGCAACAAGAGTAGTATGAGTCTCAATAAGAACAGCAGTTTGAATAGTCATATGAAGAGATCCAGTCATCTTAGCACCTTTAAAAGGTTGAGAAGGACCAAATTCAGTACGGCAAGATATAAGTCCAGGCATTTCGACTTCAGCAAGCTCGATTTAGAGTCTACCAGAGGTGGTCTTCTCGACTGAAAATGGAGTCGCCGCCATTGTTGTTGAGCTTGAAGAACAGGAAGAGAGAGAAGACGAGTGAGGAAGAAGAGAAATGCGGGAAGAGAAATGAGCAGTGTTGACAGTGATTTGAGGAGAGAGAAAGAGAAGATGAGTGAGGAAGAAGAGAAATGCAGAAAGAGAGAGTGATTTGAGGAGAGAGAAAGACAAGAGAAGTGAGGAAGAAATGCGGCTGGGGAAGTATGTAGGAACCGATCTTTAACCCTAGAGAGTTATTTAGTTGTAACGGGATTTATATTTGTCCGTTACAATTAATAACTATTCGTAACGGGCATTAATTTGCCCGTTACGATTATTAATTATTCGTAACGGACAGTTTTTTTGCCCGTTACAAATAAGTTTTTCCGTAACGATCAAAAATTTTGCCCGTTACAATTACACTTTTTGTAATGGATTTTCTCATGTCCGTTACAAATAGGTGTTACAAATGACAATTTTTCCACTAGTGGCTTTCCTCAACAACATAAACACAAACAGCAATATCAACAAACACAACTCAACCATCACCCACAAGCCACACATTCCCACATCTAGACTCCCAACCACTAGCCACCGCAACTTATAGCCACCATAGCCTCCAAACCCGCCAGTAACAATCCTCCAACAACCAATTTACCACCAAAAAACCTCCAATCATCACCATCAATTACCAACCTCTGCCACTTTCCCCTGTTTATACTCACAACAACAACAACAGTCAGTAGCGTATCTGACCACCACTCTTCAACAATTCCAAAACCGAGCAAACCCAATCGAACTCAATCAAGCCCCAATTCAATTAGATTTCCCAGCGGGAGTAGGTGTGAGAGGAGCGGAAGCGGGGCTCGATGCACCAAATCTGCCAATTTGTGGCAGGAAGGAGCCGGGGATGTGCCGCGGTCTCTCTGCGGGCGCGGTCTTCTGGGTGTGAAAAAAAACCCATATCACGAGCTTCTCACGTGATAATTAATAATATCAAACGATCAAGATTTGAAGTTTGATGATGAAGATGATGATGAGCGGTGATGATACTTGTTTGCTGTTGAGGATGATGAGTCATAGCAGCCACGAAATGAAGGGGGTATGTTAGATTCGTGGGTCTGATGGGATTTTGGGCGTTTTTGGGTTTTATTTTCCTTTTTATTTTAGTTTTGTTAATTATTTATTTTAGTTAGTTTTATTTATTTTATTTTGATTAGCTTGTATATAAATCCCCTTTTGGAGTTAATACTCTCTTAATTTTTAACAATCATTTTTAAGATTAGTTTGAGGGGAGCTTCTCTCTCTTAGGGTTAGATTAGATGTGTTTAGAGAGAGAAAGTAGATTATTGCTCAAGTTTCTTTATTGTATTAAACTTTTGGTCAAGTTCGTTTCAATCAAGCAATACATCCAAGTTTTCATCTTTAATCAAGTTCATCTTTAATAATCTCTAATCCCTTCTTTTAGCTTTATTTATTTGCTTTATTGTTGATTATTTTCATTCATCTTTTTAGTTGAACTAGTTTGTATTGTTTTCATTGTTCTTAATCATGCTTAGTTTTGTGCTTCATGAATTCATGTTTAGTATTGTTATTAAGATTAATATCCCTTCCCTAGGATAATTTCTTAGCTAGGGGAAGGGGGTGGAAAATATGTGTTGATATTGGATGAATGATGATGGTTGGATTGAACTCATGCCATAAATTGATGAAAGACATGATTTTTGATAGCTTGAGATTATTGTGGCACTTTATTTGATGTTCTATAGTTTAAATGCATGAAAGTGATTTGAACTAGATTAAGATCATCTCTATTTTAATGATTGCTTGAGAGTGAGTTGTTAAAGTGGAGTTTTATGGATTGTGCTTCTTTATTCTCTTGATTTGATTATAACTAATAGGATGCATGCATGAGAATGATCCTAATTAGTATAGACCTTTTTCATTGATTTGCCTAGACTATTGCATGAGAATGAATTGTTTAGGTAGAATATTGTGTTCTTTGGCATGTTCATCATGATAACCATTATTGTTCCCCCTCTTTCTAATCATGTTTGACACCCCCTTACCCCTAATGTTGTTCTCTCTAGATTTTAATCAACTTTATCTTTGCTTGTTTGTAGTTTTAGTGCTTTTTATCCAAAAACCAACAAAAACATTCCCCTTTTTGTTCTTGCATTAGTGATAGATATTGATGTTTGACAAGTGAGCTTCCTTAGTGGTTCGACCCTTTACATACCCCTGTACTTGTATTAGTGCAGTTTAGGAATATAAATGATTAATTTGATTAGGGTAGCTTAGTAGTTTAACGACCTATCTAACATTCTATCACATAATAATCATACATGATATTAGAAATTTTAGTTAACCCTAAACATGATATTAGGAAGATCAAGACACCCTAATATGATACTAGGAATTAACAAAATAATCTAAGCGTGATTTATATATTAAAAGATCAATAAAACAATTAAATTACTTACTTCTATGCCTCGTATCTCTTTCAAATAAAAAAATACACACGTTAGTAACTTCAAGGAAAAATATTAAAACAGACAATTAAAATAAATAATTGAAATAGAGATTTGGAATCAAACCCTCAGAAATATCAAACCTTTCACGTCTAGGGCGAAGGCAACTTTGAACTTGGCTAGGTGTGTCTAGGACTAATGAGCGAGGAATTTTGAGAGAGGAAAGGTTTAGAAAAAGAAGAGAGACACAGAGAGAGAGAAAGCTTCTAGCTTTTAGAGAAAGAGATGATGGTAGTGAATATTAATTGTAAATGAACAAAAACAGGGAAATACGACCCCTATTTATAATAAAAATAGCATGGGATCAAAGAAAATCATATCCGTACTAAAATACCTCCTGTCGCCAACGACAGGAGTCAGCGCCAGATGACAAGCTTGTTGCCAGGCGACAACCGTCAGCGCCAGGCGAGGACTCTGTCGTCTCGCGCTAATTCATAAGTTCAACGTGCTTTTGTACGCGAAATCATCTTTTAAACGGGTTAAGAGTTAATTCCGTGTCTAAGCATATTTAAAATCAGATTTGTGATAAATAATATATTTTATTCAAATTAAAACATCTTTAAAAATATAATTATCAATCCTAATCTTATTAGAATTAAAAGGAACCTTCTAGATTTTTCTAAAAGATTAGAATCAATCCTAATTACTTTAGGAATAACTATTAATAGGCTCTCCTCTAGATCATTGGGCTTAATTTAATTTAATCCATAACTTACTCATAATTCATCAGAACTGGGCTTATAATATATCGTTGGAAATCTCTTTGCAAGACCAATCCAACTACACTATTATTTGACCCTTATCTTGGAACAAACCAAATTGGAATTGCTATTTTTTATAAATAGGGTAAGAAAAGAAATATTTTTATAAACTAAAAGAGAAACATTTTAAAAAAAACATCCTCATTACTAGAATTTCCACATTTTCACCTCATTCGATAATTAAATGACGTGAAACGTATTCATCACTGGATTTGGTTTTGGGGAGACACATTTGGATGTCTATAGAAGCTCCCTCTTTGACTGAGTTTGGAGAAACGCAAGTTTCGAAAACAAAAGTCAAAGTAGCGATAGGGACGGAGAATGGTTCAGATTGTTCTGCGATCCTAAATCATTCTTGTAACGCCGATACCTGCAAACTAGCGTTAGTTAAAACAGATAAAAGAGTTAAGAAACGGGTATCTTGCAATGTCGAGCACACGTCTTTGGATTAACCAATTTTGTTTGACGATCTTCGTCAAGCTAGGGGATACCGCCTAAAGACTACCACGCTTGCAGCTGCCTTCAGTTTTCGCTATTTTATGACCATCTTGCACATCCTAGGGAACACGATCGAAGATAACTTCGCTTGATATCAACTCCTTTTTTCTGACAACCTTCCACATCCTATGGAACGCCGTCGAAGATAACCTCGATTGAAGTCACCTCCTATTTTGTGACAACCTTCCACATCTTAGGGAACGCCTTCAAAGACAACCTCGCTTAAAGTCACCTCCTTTTTTCTGACAACCTTTTATATCCTGGGAAAACCGTCGAAGATAACTTTGCTTGAAGCCATGCTCAATGGTCTGACAACCTTCCACATCTTAGGGAATGCTGTCGAAGATAACTCCGCTTGAAGCCATCTTCAGTTGTTGTGATAATATTCCGAAGAAAAATTACCGAAGAAACCCGCTTGTTAATCCTCAAAGCTCGCTTGAACTTTGTTGTTGTGATATTTGCAGAAATTACTACGGTGCCATTATGTCGGCGCATTTTGCTGATTGTGATGCATTACGTCGGTGCTAGCGATGAGCCAATGTTTAGACACAAGCTAAGTGACACGATCTTTTATCAGGTCGATCACCTACTGTGATTGTTATCGAGAAGATTACTTAATCATGTCAAATTTCTTATAGGGGCTAACTGGCGTACCAAGGAACCCAAAATTGTTGTATAAGGTCCGCATAGTCATTTATGAGGGCCACAAATCCTGTCTCCGCAACAGCGCATGCCAGAACACACTGTCGCCAGGATTTCGCTCTGTCGCTAGGCGACGAGCTTTAGCGCCTGATGACAACCTTGTCGTCTGGCGCTGGAGTCGCTGCTGCTGGTGTTCATTGCTCGATTTCACTCCAAACCTTCAACTTGGTGGTTTCCTCTAAACCTAATCTGCTCAAATCTTTTGCAAATTAAATCTCTTCGTCTCTAATTTACCAATCCATGTAAGTTTTTCTCAAACTCCTCTTATGTTGGAAGAATTTCTTGCGTTTATATTTGCGGTTTTTTGAAAAATCCGGGAACATTCTTGTTCGCTTGCTCTTTGAAAGTGGTAGCTTCCCATGCCTTGAAACTCTGTTGAAAACCCTATCTTTCAGGATTTTACCAAGGCTGAGGTGCTTGATCAAGATCCGGATGTGCTCGATTAATCTGGCTGATCGTCAATCAAACTGCGATTAGGCCGACTCTAGTTGACTTGTTAAGCCATTTGCGTCCTTTTGCTTCAAATCTTTTGTACTTGCATTTATATTTTAGACTATAGGACTTTGGTCATCTTTTCTTTCTCTTCTTCTTCTTTTTTAGGGTTGACTTAAGGCTTAGTGTTGCTTGACTTCATATAATACTTAATGTGTTTTTAACACATATGACTTGTCATGACTCGAATCAAAGCATTTTGACATACATGGCTAGACACGACTCAAGATATAAACATAACTTAATGATGACTCACTTCATGTGACTTGTGTGTGCAAAGTGTTGACTCATGACTCAATTTGTGACTC